ATAGTAGCGCGATCTACAAGTACAACCTCCACGACCGTATGCCGGAGTGGTACAGGGTGAGGGACATCGGTGATCAGACACTATTCGTGTCTAAACATTTCAATGAAAGCTTCAGTGGAATAAGTGTATCCAAGTACAAGGAGAATAAAATCTACATGTCTGAGCCATTTTATGGGGATCCATACGACTTGGTCCATCGATTGGAGATCATTGATATTGCTACCGGCGCATCCGAAGTGAAGCCCGTCCAATAAAAGATGTATGGTTCCGAGGCTCTAGGTTGGATTCGACCCAATTTCTGAAAGGATCATTGCAAGACATCAATCATCTCATAGCTTCGTACAATATCGTAGAGCTACTAAAAACTGTAACCATGCCCTCACCTCAAACATTGTCCAGATAAATGGATTACAATGAAAGAAATGAATATTGGAGATTTCTTCCTACCAATATAAAATATTATCTTAGCCGCATCACGGAAAGATCTATAAAGTAGAGTTTGTGAGCCTGCGACGTCGCGCACTCCGTAACTGTGTTAAATTCATAAACTTTGCTTTTTGGATTAAATATCACTTTAACGTTGGTATTTATTATTATGCGATCTGTGTGTTTTTAGTACGTGTGTATATAGGCGTCAGTCTTGTAGGGAAACGATATGCATGTTATTTATTATTATATGATCATGTTATTATGTGAGAACCCTAAGCTCACAGATGGGCTTCTACGCTTTTTCTTGTCTTCGATGGTTGACAGGAGGTGGCCCATTCTCTTCTTAGCCAGGCCGCCTAGGAAGAAGCAACCCGTTCTGTGAAGTGACTTGTAGTAGTGTAGTAGTGCAAGGGTCCAAGCACACCATGAAACAATGGATAGCAGGCTTGGTCGTAGTTGACGTAAATGAAAGAAAACGCGAGCCCAGTTCCACATCGGAGAAGGGCCCAGCACACACCCACAGCATGTGGCCCAGATGCACTCCCCAGCGCATTAGGGTGGGGTAAAATAGACCAATTCAGTTTGATTTCATAGGTGCGGCGAAAGTTCCGTGTTGGACTTAAACACGATCGGTGTAATCAGAGGGAGAACCAATGCGTAAGCTCAATTAGTTAGGTTTCATTGTGGTGTAACATGTTCATCCGGCTTAAGGATTTAATTTGACGTGAGTTCTCGTATTTTTCTAGATTTTCCGCCCACACGCCTATCGCCTCCGCATTCATCTTCTTCCTCGCCTCGCCTCACATCTTCTTTCTCCGCGCTCCATCCGCCGCCTCGTCACCCGCCGGGCTCCGGCGCCGCTGCCCAAGACTTGCTCCAGATCCAGCGACGCCTCCCCCGCCTCCCACCGCCGACGGTAGGGTCTCGCCGGAGCTCCGCGAGACCCTACTGCTGGCGGCGACCTCCTCCTTCCCCTCCCCCCTCCCTCCGCCCCCTCCTACATGGTGCCATGGCGAACTCCAGCGAGCTCCGACGAACTCCGGCCATGGCGCCCCCTCCCCGACTTGGCCCGGCCGCCACGACCACCGCCAGCTCCCCTAAACTGCTCGTCGACCTTCCCCACCGCCTGGCCTACTTGCCTCCCTCGGCGGGCCCTTCTATACCCCGCCGGAGTTGGGGGAAGAAGGGTGGGGTGCGGTCGCCGGAACCCTAGACGCCGTATTTGGGGAAGAAGGGCGGCGGTGCGGGCGCGGGCGCGGCGAGGAAGAAGACGCGGGCATGGGTGTGGCGCGTATCGGAAGTGGCTGTGGGCATGAATCGGACGGCCGTAGGGGTGTGCACGCTGGAGCTCGATCACGTGCGCGCTCGTAAGTTAGCTTTTCCGTTTCTAGATTTGTTTGAAGATTTCATGTCCCCATTGACATTGAGACCTGCCTATTGTAATTTCGTGGATGATGTTTGTTCTTTTAGTGGTATACGACATGCTTGTCGATGATGAGACACCTACGGTGACTTCATCGATCTCGAGATCTGTTGGTTCAGTCTTAGTCTTTGTGATCTCGAGATCTGTTGGTTCAGTCTTAGTCTTTGTGTTGTTATTTGAGTGGTAGGCGACATGCTCATGAGTAACGAGACACCTGTAGTGACTTTATTAATCTCGAGATTTGTCAGTTCAGTCTTAGTGTTTCGAATATGTTGTTCTTTCAATGGCAGGTAACATGATCATCGACGGCGTGACCCACCTGTTGTGGCTTCATCAACAGTGTTTTTCTTTTAGTAGTAGGCGACGTGCCCATCAACAGCGAGACCCATGTGATGACTTCATCAATCTCAAGATATGTCAGTTCAGTCGCAGATTTTTCGGAGGTGTTGTTCTTTCAATGGTAGATGTCGATAGCGATAACTCTACGGTGACTTTACCAATCTCCAAAACTGTCGATTCATTCAGTCTCAGTTTTTTTAGGTGTTGTTTTTTCGGTGGTACACCCACATGTTTTATAAATGAACTATGTTCGTCTCTACAAACTTGATCAACACAATTTAACTTATAGCAAACCTAGAATTGGACTTTTTTTGGACGAATGTAGTTTTAGTTCCGAGAGTGAAAGAGATTTTTCTAACTTTACTTATATTAATAAACTAACATTTTATTAGGTCTTTCTTCCCAACATATATATGAAAATCAAACTGCTATTTTTTGTAATTTTGAATTTTGAATTTAACTATTTAGTAAATATAATTATGGGCTTTTCGTTTAGGTATCCTTTTCTTCCTGATTTATTTTGATAACTATTATTTCTTTGGGATGCTCATATTTACAATAAGGACACTGCTACTGCACGGCCGGCCGTGCGTTAGGCCAGTCACACGGCCGGTTGCTCCGCACACGCGCTTTCTCTCATGTTCATCTTCTTCCTCGGCACCATGGTCCCACTGCCCCAACCATTGCGGTCCCACCGCCCAGCTGCGGTGAGCTAGGGTTTCGCCAGAGCTCCGCGGCCACGACTACGGTTGCGGAGCTCCAACGAAACCCTAACTCGCCCGCGGCGTCACCTTCTTCCCCTCCTCCTGCCGCCCCCACTGCCGCCACCACCTCCCTGGCCATCGCGCCCCCGCCCGACCTGTCCCGCCGCCGCAAGGGCCCCTAAACTGCCCGCTGGCATCTCCACCGCCTGGCCAGCCTTCCTCCCCCCTAAACCCTCTCTTTCTAAGCCCGCCAGAGTTAGATAAATGATAGGAGTGCTCACCGGAACCCTAGCTCGGAGATCTAGGAGGAGGAGGAGGAGGCCTACCTCCCCGATGCCGCCGTCGCCGGAGGGGAGAGAAGGAGGAGCCACATGGGGAGGTGGGGTGCGGGCGTGGGTGCGGGCTCGCCGGAGGAGGGCGTAGGCGCGAGGAGGAGCTCGCCATGGAGAGAGATAGGGAGAGTGTGTACGGTGGATGGGGAGACGCGTGCGAGGAGGGAGGGAGACGCGTGCATGTGTGGATGTGAGGAGTGTCCGTGGTGGGCGACGGTGTTGAAGACATTACTTTACAATAATATATGCTTTAAATCAGTGTCTTTCCTAGTCGAATAAAATGTCGTACTGTACTTTGACTTTATTTGATTGATCAAACTTCTTTGACTTTAACCAACTTTATAGAAATTGTTCCAAAATCTATGACATCAAATTTATTCTATTTTCGTATAAAATAATTTTGAAAGTGTATTTATTTAAACTTGTAGATACTAATATAGGAGTATGTTTTTATAGAACAGCCGAAATTAGAAAAGTTTGATTTAACACAAAGTTAAAGTGAATTACAATTTATAACAAAGTAGTAACCAGTTGTGGCGCCGTGGTGACACCTAGTGTACCAATATTGTCCTTTCTGTTAACTTCACACCTTTTTTCGCGACCGTGCCGTACCACGTTGTTAACTTCACCGTACCCGTTGCTGCTGGATTTGCAGTAGGTTGACTGGTTGAGCATGCGAGTGCGAAACCCACCTCCACTCCAGCTGATGACCTGAACCTGACTGAACACGGAAGGCGAGAGAACGTAAATTAAAGCGTGGCGATTACTCCCTCGGTCCAAATTAACTGTTGTTTTCGGTTTTCATACTATAAGTTTAACTTGATTTGTAGAAAATACGTATAATATTTCTATTTTCAAATAAACTTGTTAAAAAACCAGATTCAAATATTTTTCCGATGATACTAATTACGTAACATAAATATTAATATTTTTAATATATATTTAGTTAAAGTTATTTGTCGAAAAGCGAAAACGATATTTATTTTAGGACGGGGAGTACGTAATCAATTACTCGTCCCTGGCCCTGTCGCAGGCCGTAAAGCTCGCGTTTGTTGTTTATTATTTTGGGCCTGGAGGTCCTGGACGCCTTCTTGAATCTTGATTGCTTCGATTCTCAGAGAGAGAGAGAGAGAGAGAGAGTCTTGATTGCTTCGACGAACATCATCTCACGTCCGGCCCCTGGTTAAGGTGTCGCTTTGGCCCATCCCTCTATCCACTCCGAAGTCCCCATGGCCACTTCTGTTCCGACGGCGTGCAGCAGACCGTCCGGTTACTGGGGCACTTAAAGCCTTCCATCAATCCGCTCAGGAGACTAGTGATTTTTCTCCTGCGGTCTCGGTCTATCGTATTCAGAACACTAATAACTGAGATATGGTACAGAAAGTGATCACCGTCCATCGGCGTAGGCGTAGACAATGTCGTCTGACGTCCGTATCTACGGCTCTGGCCCTGTTTGATACTCTAGCTCGGTTAGAGGTTAGAGCTAGTTTCTAGCTCTAGACTAGCCCTGAACTAACTCTAGCCCAAGAGGTGTTTGGATGCAAGAGTTAAATTAACAATAAATATACTTTTCTAATCATTTGACTTATTTAAACCATCTTTCAGCCGGATTTGGTGTGGCAGGCTCTTGTGTGGCCTCCTTCCGCATACAGATGATACAAATACATTATTTGTACAAATCAAGCATCCAAATCACAATAAATTTTAATTTGTCCATACATATGAGATGTGTCACTCAAACTTACAAGTCCTCAATCAAGCTAAACAAAAAAATTACACTCCATGAAACAAAGCATGAGCTAATTCATCACGGAAGGCATTCATGTTCACATCTTCAACAAGAGGTTCATCTTCTGGCCATGCTGATGCCGAAGAACTAGGCATTGGGTTATAATTTTCATCTGCATCACAAGCATCAAATTCTCTATCCGCAATTCTGCTCTCTCGAATAAAATTATGAAGAGCCATGCTGGGGCGCCGGAGTCGCCCACGCGTCTCCTGCTCCGGCACGTGGTGGGTGATAGGGAGGGAGGCCGGAGCCCCTGCCGCGTCCAGGAAGGAGCTCGACGTCGTCGCCCTAGAGGAAGTCTTCGTACAGCCGAATCCCCGGGAACCCCTCCGCCGCCGGCGCTTGCGAGTTGAGGTCGAGACCGGCGCGGGCAGGGCCGCTCGCCGACGGCTGCGAGCTCCACAAGTCGAATCCGTCTCCGTCCATCGCTCGCCGACGGAGGGGAAGGGCGCGGCGGGAGGGAGGGAGGCGGCACGGGCGACAGAGATCCGCCTCTAGGGGGCCGCCGGCGCTGCTCCTTTGGCGGATTGAAGCGGCGGCGGTGCGAGTCGCGAAGGGGGGAAGCTAGTCGCGATGGGGGATCTGAGTGGCGAGGATCCGGTGCGGGTGGACCGGTGGAGTAATAAAAAAAATAAGAGTTTTCAGTGGGCCCCACCAGAACTAGCTCAAATAATCACCTCTTTTGGGGGATAGTTTTTTTGGGTGTGCTAGTTGCAAATAACCCACTTTAACCCTCCTGTTTGGATACTTTTGGGCTAGTTGAGCTCAAACTAGCACAAACTAGCTCTAGCCCCTGGATCCAAACAGGGCCTCTGTTCGGCTAGTGTATAAACCGCTGGTGTTTATATGACTGATTTATTGGGAGAGAAAAATATTGTACCATAGTTAATAAGCCGGCTTAATGGCATCCGAACAGAGCCAGCTCAGCTGTCTGCCTACGGCCGTCGACCTCGTGCTTTGTACTGCAGACTACAGTAAATGCTCTTCGTAGACGTAGAGGAGCATATATAGCATTGATAGGAGCGGCGCACGGGTAGCGGTGGCGAACGGCCTACTGTGCTGGCATCACGATTTCAATGGCGACGTGTACACACGACCTGACTGAGACTGATGTACCCGCCTGTGATCGTGCTAGCTGCTGCATGCGAAGAGTAGAGTAGCAGACTTTTACCCGCCGCCGAGGGCATGAGCACGGGTCCCCGACGGTGCGGTGCTGCGGCGGCGGCCCCGTGTGGCCTTCCCTTGCCGGCTCGCCACGCAACAGTCGTGGTCGTCCGCCCTGCGCAAACGGCAACCGCGGTATTGAAGCGCCCTTCACTGGTCACCAACCCTGCAATGGCACTGTCGATCTGTCGTCGCTATACACTGCAGTCTTTGACGGTTCCGTGGCACCTTCTCGTTAATCTCGCCTCTTTGCCTTGTCAACATCTGGGCAAAGATCCTCTTTGTATGCGCAGGCTTTCTTGCCAACCACGATCGCTTGTTAGAGCAAGTATTATGGCTGGCTGCAAGCCGGCTAAATTCCCGCTGGCGGAGAGAGTAAAGGAGAGAGAGAGTGCGGAGCGGACGTCTCGCGAAACGCTGGCTTGAAGCGGGCGGTATACGCGCGCCCGTGCTCCCATTCGATGCTCTGCTGTTGCGCTCGCTCCGCATTGGCTGCATGCGCTGCTGCAGAGCTACGGCTGCCGCTGCCGCATTAATTGGAAGCCACGCTAGAGTTTATTTCGCCGGCGAGCGGGCGGTATCATTGCCCTTGCTCTTATAGGTGGTCAGTCTTGTCTCTTGTCACAGATGATGATGATGCTAGTACTAGCTTGTTGCGCAAACGGCAACGGCAAAAATCCTGACGTCGACTGAGGACCGGGACGACACCAGATTCGCACGCTGCCGATGCCACCTGTGATCGCGCGCGCCCCGCCGCCCTGTCCGCCGCCCCCGGTGTCGTCGGCCCTCCGAAAACGGAGGATCCCCACCTGTCACCCGACGACGGCACGTACGCGCGCTGCCACGCTCCTGGCCGCGCGCGCGCACGTAGCACACAGCATCGGCCAAACGGCTGGTTGGTGAGCGGTGTGCGGTGCGGTGAGGCAGGCAACCGTCCGCCCGGCCGTGCTCCGGCAGTCCGGCCCCGTGCACTCGTCTGGCACTCTAGTGAGCAAGAGCAAGGTCAGCCGCTCGGATCAGCTGCCAACCTGCTGCCTGCCACCTCTGAACTCAACGCCACCAGAGAATCTTGGGGGGATCGATGGAGGCTTTCACCGCTGCACCGTGAACAAGTACGGCGGCGCAATCACTGCGGTAGGCTGCAGGCCAGGTAAGCGCAATTACTGTACTAGCTAGTAGACCCCCACGTTGGCATGCACCTCGAGATGCCCGTACCTACTGCGACTCTGCTACTGCGGAGGGAGGGAGGCGTGGCCACCGCGGGGGATGGATCGTGGATGGATTCATTTCCCTCCCACCTCGCCTCTGCTATTAAATGCCACCCCCCGCACCCGCCATTTTTAATACCGCGCGCGCTTCTCGCTGCGCCGTGCCGTGCCGTGCCGTCTCCGCTCTCAGTCCTGCTGCGGCTGCCGGCTGCTGCTGCGGCTCACGCAGTCATCTCCGGGATGCGGGTTGGCGATGGTGGTGAGAGTGAGGAGCGGCCCCGCGGCGGCGGCGCGGCGGTGAGGAGGAAGTGCGGGGCCGTGGTGGAGGACGGGGAGGCGAGCGGGTGCTCGGCGAGCTCGACCAGCCGCGGGAGCAGCGCGCGCGGATCCTCTGGCGGCGACTCGGTCAGTCCGTCGTCCTCTCTTTTTCCTGCCTGCGCTGCTTGGTTTCTTTTGCTCGCGTTCGTTGCCGTTACCTTGCCCTGCACGGTCTGCACCACAGCTCCACTAGTCCAGTACCAGCAATGGTGGAAGTCCCAAGATTTTGATGGAAACGCGGAGGCAGACGCGCTTGGTTTTGGTTGATTGTTTTCAGCATTTCTTGGTAGAGATGGCGAAGACGAACCAGGCGTCATCACTGATCAGATAGCAGAAACGCATCATTTTTTGCCACCCTGACGAAATGAGAGGTGGGGATCGATTTGGGTGATTCTGATTAGTGACGATACTACTGATTGTTGATGCAAGTGGTGTCACACGGATCTAGGTAGTCAACGAAACCGTACACCTAGATGCCAGTGCTAGGGACAAGATAAGATACTGCCCAGGTCCAGCTATACAGCACGGTCTCTGCCTCTCTGGTAATGGTGAACCCCATCGCGATAAGCAAACAAATGGGGCCCTAAACCCTGGCAACGGGGACGGCGAAAATGGGGGCATTATGGGAGGGTCCTTGGTTTTCATTTTTTTTGATCGATCGCCAGCGGTTTGCCTGTGCAGCTTCTTTGGAGCACGTGCCTGTTTAGTTTTCAAAATTTTGTAAAATTTTTTAAGATTCCCGTCACATCGAATCTTTGACGTATGTATGAAATATTAAATATAAATAAAAAATAAAACTAATTATACAGTTTAGACGAAATTCACGAGACGAATCTTTTAAGTCCAATTAGACTATGATGGAACATTAATTGCCAAATAACAACGAAAGTGCTATAGTATCATTTTTCAAAAAAATTTCGCCAACTAAACAAGACCTAGGTTCAGGTCGTGTGAGGTGGTGTTTGGTCGGTCCTCGTAAATTTTAGTCGTCTTATTGAATGTGTGGACACATGTATGAAGTATTAAATATAGATTAATTATGAAACTAATTGCATAGTTTACGATTAATTTATGAGACAAATCTTTTAAGCCTAATTTGTATGATTTGACAATGTTGTGCTACAGTAAACATGTGTTAATGACGGATTAATTAGGCTTAAAAATTCGTCTCGAAAAATACTGACGAATCATATAATTTATTTTTTTATTAATATCCGAACACCTCATACAACATCCTTACGTGACTTCTAAATTTTTAGTTAGCTTATCCAAACACCACCTTACTTTTTTTTTATCTGAAGAAAACTGTCGGTGCAGCCTCTAACCAGGTTCGTGCGCCGGGGTGGTCGACTGGGGACGGATCCGGAGCGGGACGAGACGCTCACTTCCTCATCCTCCTACGGTGAGCACTGAGCAGAGCACAATGTGGTCAACAGCTCATTGCTTGCACTGTTGCACAGTTGTACTCTTACACTGCTTCATTGTCTTGCTTGTACATACACCACTGTTGCTGCTTCTCTTCTTCTGCTTGTTAATGCACGACTTCGCAGCCATTAAAGCTGATGGACTTTGCGCCTCCTGAAGCTTCTGCAGGTTCCACGGAGCCACAGGAGGAGGACGACGATGCGGCATTAGAAGCGGCCAAGGACAAGAGGTGGGTACATGCACGACCCCAAGGGCAGACCAAGAATGCAGCAGCAGTCCCCTGTCTCACCGGCGGTAATACTACCATGACTATTCTTTTACCTGCCCATTGCCCACTGGTAAGTAGCTCATGAGCCTTGATCTGCTATGCCCACATCCTATTTGACAGAACGCCAAGACCAGCGGCATCGGTTGGGATCCCTTCTTTTCCAAGGCAGGAAGGACAGGGCGCAGCGGCCGGCCTCGCTTGATTTCGGCTGCCCTGGTCCTGGTGTTGCCAGGTCATCAATGCCGCATTCTCCAGGGTTCCCGGTCACTGGTGTCGGGGTGATGAACAAGGGGCTGGGCATATCAAATTCATCACACGGTGGTAGGCCAGACGTGCTGTCTAGTCCAGGGACACCGAGCTACGACCGGCGTGGGATGGCAGGCGTTGGCTATCAGCAGGGTCCGATTTCCGAAAGAGTGATGATCCCGCCTTCGGACGGCCATAGAAGGCATCCGGGAAGCGGCATGGTGTTGCCTTATAGCAGTGGGAGGACACTGCCGTCGAAATGGGAGGATGCAGAGAGGTGGATCTTCAGTCCTAACCCCAATAACGCACTTGGGAGGTCGATCCCGCAACTCTGGCGGCCGAAATCCAAAAGTGGTCCTGTTGGACCTCCTGGTAGATTTGGTGGGGCATACTCTTGTGTTTCATCATCTGCTCAGTTTCTTGACAATGCTAGAGTTGGAAATCTCACAGTGAATGCACCTTACCTGGCTGGGGTCTTGCTACCTGAGCATGTTTGTGGGGGTGTTATGGACTTGGGAAGGGATCTAAGTGGTGCATCGGGTGACGATAGCAGCAATGGCCGAGGAGGCAGGCCTGGTCAAATGAATGGTCGGCATCCTGCTATGCAGTCTACCAGGGTTTCTCAGCAACTTGGTAGTGCAGTCGAGTCATATCAGTCATTGCCTACTTCACTTGAATCTATACAAGGTAAATGCCCCTATGTTCTTGAGCACTGTGTAATGTGTATGTTCTCTCTTTATGTTTTGTTTAGCACCAGATTTCTGTTGAGAGATGTAGATGACAAACTTCTATGGTTAACCGTTAACATAGCTGAATTCCCTATTGAACTAGAAGGTTTAGACGAATTAAATGTTGCTGGCTATCTTGGTTCTAATATTCAGTAAACAATGTGTTGGACCTTATTGCTTATGCTCAAATTTCTCAAGCGGAACCTTTTGGTTTCTTTTTGTGGCAGATGGTGGGATTGAAAGCATAAAAGACTCTGCCACTAGCAGTGCCCCCATAATTGTGAGGAAGGATGTGGCAACACAAACAAGCCCTGATATTAGCAGGTCATCTTCTCCCAGCATGAGGTCTTCCTTCTCCCGTTCACTATCGGCGCAACAAGTCAAAGAGCTGGAGAGTTGTTTCTCTAAGCTTGAGGTCAGGGATGTGCAAGTGGATGATCGGGTGACTCTGACTAGGTGGTCCAAGAAACATGTCACCCGAGGCTCTGACAAGAATGCACCAAATATTATTGAATGGAAGAAAAAGACTATGGATTCTAAATCTTCTGCCTGGGAAGTAACAGAAACCACAAAGTGTATATCAAAGTAAGAGGCTGCTATTGTTGTTGAACCTTTTCAGATAAATTAGTTGTTTGGCTTGCTCGATCCATACATACTACTATTCCTATGCACCATATTTTTGTATCAAACTAACTAATTAGATGTTTACTTCATAAAATCATGCAACTTTGATTGTGTCTTCTTCTAATTTGCTAATCTACCTCAACTGTCATTTACAAAATGAATTTTAATATCACAATGGGAGAACTTTTTATTAAGTTGTTACATCACTTTTATGTATAGCTTTGGCAAATGTATTTGATATTAGATCTAAAAAAAATTGCTGATGTAAGCAAAAGGATGAGGGCTAGTGCCTTCACACTAAAATAATGGTGCCTGAATTTGCTTTATAAGAATTTCAAAAGAAGAGTTTCTAAAGTTGATAACTTCTAGGAGCAAAAGTTACATAACTTACATGGCTAGTGTTAGAACATAGTTTATGTAGGAATGTAGCTGCCTTTGTCAACTGTTACATCTTCATCCTTCCTAGTTTGAAGTGGCGTATCATTCACTTCTTATGCTGGTAGAGACTAGTCGTCGCCTCTGTTACCTATTCTGTATTTGCAACTCTGCAAGTAGTTCACATCTTTGGTGGATGGTCAGTTATCTAATATAGGAATTGGAGAAGCTAATGTAGTTGTAACACATTTACCTTGTTCTGTCAAACACTGATGGATGCAGTTGCTGTTTATATAAAGGATTGAGGGAGAGGAGACAAAAATGACTGCATGGGAAAATATGCAAAAAGTTGAAGCAGAAGCAACCATACAAAAGCTTGTGGTATGCTTGTTTCTTTATTCTGGATTGAACTCTTTTTTTCTTTTCCACACTCCATTCCAGTTTCCTCGCTGCTAGGACGTTTGATATCATCTAATTCTCGTTATTCATCAGATAAAACTTGAAAAAAAAAGGCCATACTCGCTGGGGAGGATTTTCAACACCCTCAGGTCTGGCTCTTGGAAAACACAGGTGGTACGCAGTACATCAACCGTAAATCAGGATCAGCATATTTCCAGGACTATCAAAACGGCGCCACACCTCAGCAAGAACGGTCAAATGAGTTCGTTGAGTGGATGCTTCACATGTCATGCTTTCTAGAGATGTAGCTCCGGGGTAAAGTTTGTTGAATTTCGATTTTTCTCTTTCTACATCACAAATCCTATTCCTGAAAATATTTCATTTTGAACATGTAGATAAACCTAATTTGTAGTCAGTTAGGAACATTTTGGTAAAAGAAGGATATGTTTCTGTCTGTACATTGGTCCATGCACACTTAACATTAGTTTCCTTGTTTTCAGGCACTATTGTCACTTTCAAGTGTAGAGGAAAAACCAGATCGTTGTCAATAAGGAACTAGGGCCCCCTGAATCCCCGCCACCCCCCACCCCCCCTCTCCAAATGGTCAATCTATAACAGGGATCATATTCTGGATTCTCCTTTATTTTTATATTTGCTAGGGGAACATAAGAAAGTATGTGTAGAAGTGTGTAGAAGCAAAATGAGAGGAGCTGTTGTTACCATCCATTATTTGTGATTTGTGATTATTGTTACCACCACATAATAATAAAAGAGTTCCTCTGATTTGTTAGTTGTTACAGAAACTATCACAGGATTCAAGAATCTTTATTCTTGAGTTGTTGAGTGGTATTGCATACCATTCAAATGAAAAATACAAGAAACTATGCGTTGTGTTGTGTCCGTGGTGACTAATATGAGACAGGCTTGGAGGGGTCTGGATATGATGGAATCAGAAATCATCCTATTGGGTAGGATGGGGTGCTGCAACGGTACAATGGCGACAACCTTATCAGTATGGATGTTTCCCTAGGTTTGTTAACTACGCGGAGTTATGACTAGAGTATTTTACTACCATCTGCACATGATTTGAGTGTGACATTATCAACTTGTGTTGTGACAATCAACTTGAGTGTGACATCAACTTGTGCTGTGACAATAGACAGCCCAAGGAGGCTGACAGAGGGGGGGGGGCAGCCCCTTTCCTAAGTTAGTAAGTTTTGACTAAATTTTTTAAAATTTGATTAAACTCTTACAAAATTTATACGGTTGGTCTTCCTAACAAAGGAAATTTTGCATAGCTAACTCTGCGTCTGGTTAGACCTAGTCGGGCGCTCGACAGACTAATCAAAGCGGTCGCTTTATACTATCTTCCATAATGGTAAATGTGTGTAGTTTAAATCAAATTGCGAAGGTTACTTTACATTATTTTTCATAATGGCAGATGTGAGTAATTTTAGTGCAAATAATTAGAAAATAGTGTTAACATTTATGTCTCCAAATGAGTTTAGTATAAAATATATTTCATAATTAATCTAATTATGATACTTAGTTGGTATTATAAATATTAGTATTTTTATATTTAACCAAACTTGAAATTGATTGACTCAAAAAAAGTTATAATTGCACTTTTTTTTGGAGGAAGGGTGTACAATCCATCTTTAAGCTTAAGCATTTGAAAAGGGAAAAACACTACTTTTATAGAGAGATCATCGATTGTTGTTAACCTCTAGTCCTCTAGACATGGATTTATGTTTCCTATGAATTAAATATATGTGCTATATTGACTGATAGAATTGTTTAACAAAACAATTTAAGTCTAAGCTAATGCAACAAAATTAATTAATAACTATATAGTGCAAAGCTTTTTTTTTTTTTTGAAAGGAGAATAACTCAGCTTTTAAGAAAGCCAATAACAGAGTCATACTGGGTTTACCAGTTTTAACAGAAAGAGCAAAGAAGCAACACTCCAACACTTAAATGAAGTTCCAGACCCACTAGCCAACACGGCTAATACCAGAAAACAAGTAGGAAAACTACGGCTATATTATCATAATATCAGAGCAATGTCCTTCAAAACTTTTCTTCCAGGTCATCCAGTTCTCCAAGTACCGCGCCATCTCCACCATCTTGACTTTGTCGGCCTCATTGTGTAAATCTGCCCACATGTTCAGAAAGTTGATAGCCATATGAATTACAGCGTCTGGATTTATCGGGAAGTTCTTTTCAATAGCCATCTTATTACGGTTCTTCCAGATAGCCCATGCTAACCCTGCAAAGAAAGCGAAGCATAATTTTTTAGTAACACCCAGCCTCCTTGGCATCCATTGGGAAATTAAGTCCTGAATAGACAAAGGGAATCCTGTAGATTAAAAGCATCCCTAACACAGCACCAAATAAATTGGGCAAACACACATTCAAATAAAATGTGATTGACAGTTTCAGGCTTATTGCAGACACAGCATAGAGGGCTCCCACGCCACTTTCTTCTAACTAAGGCCACAAGAGTTTGGAGCTTATTGTGTATAGCCTGCCATAGGAAAACTTTCACTTTGATAGGAATTTTACACTTCCACAAAATATCATGCACTTTGTCCCTAACTCCCCCATGAGTTAGACAGTTGTACAGGGACTTAGTGGTGTAACCTGTTGACTTCTCCAGAGCCATGACACCTCATCCTGACCATAGTCATCTAATTGGATATCCTGTAAAATGGACCACAACTTTTCCCACTCAAGGAGCACTGCCCCATGCAGACTCCTTCTTAATGGAATATCCCATTCCCCTTCTCTCCGGAAATCCCTTACCACTGCATCTGGTTTCTGACAAACCTCAAAAACACCTCTAAACTGAATTTTCAGAGGCATGCCTCCAATCCAGGCATCATGCCAAAATCTGGTCCTATCTCCCTTTCTCACAATGTACTCAGCCCCCCACTGAAACAGGTGCTTAACCTTGTGCAAGCCTTTCCAAAATTGGGAAGTTCCATTGTAGGGAGATCCAAAGAATCCTTTACGTTTCATGTATTTGGCATCCAGCAATCTAAACCATAGCTCCCTGGAACCCTTTTGGATCTTCCAAATCCATTTAGCAATCAGGCTTTGATTCATCATATAGTGCAAAATTAACCGGCAAACTTTATTAGCAGTCGTGCCTTGTCGCTTTATCCAACATGAGACGGTGGCGACTGCCCTGCTGAACAGCGCCTGTGTTCAACAGATCACCAAGGACTGTCAGTGCTCATGATTGCGGAGTACCTCCAAGTGTGGGAGGCGGTCAGGGACACAGGGCTTACAGATCACCAGCGATAAGCTTGTCTAGCGCCGGACCATGGATGACGTGTGCTCGAGCTTAGCTTACACGACGTTGCACCAGGGATCTATGCCTAGGCTACAACTTGATCTGGGCGACCTTGGCACCCCTCCGCGTGAAGATTTTCCCCTGGCTCGCCGTCCGACACAGGCATTGGACGGCTGCCCATCAACGGCTGAACACCAACGAACACGGCTACCTCTGCGACCAGGAGCAGGAATCTATTGACCACATAATAGTGTTTTCTTCCTTCGTTAAGCAAATCTAGTTGAGCGCATTGGTCGCCCTCAGCAAAATGCTGCATGTAACACCCCTGGTGTTACGAGCTTGCTTAGCACTGAGATCTAGGTACGAGAGGGATTAGCCAAACAAGTTTTCGGGTTTTAAAAATTTATAACGCACGTGAAATGATAAACAAATTCTACGTGACTCACTTTTATGGTTGGGAAAAAATCAAAATAAATAGTGTTAACTAGTGCTCTTGGGAGCTCAAAAATCAAATTTGACGTTAAGATAAGTTCTTTTCGTTAAGTCGGCAAACACTTGAACTATTGTTTAAAATACAATTTTTTACGAATTATATTGAGCAAAATAGTTAAATTGTGCTTAAATTTTTTGCCCCTATGGGTTAGTATAAGGTATAGACTATTGCATGAAATACTTGTTGGTAGCAGTTAATGGGGTTTAGACCTTTTAAAAATTATGACAAAAATGTTAATGGATGTTAGTTCGAATTGAATCTTAACTTTTCCAAGTAGGGGAAAAGTAGTGAGGCAATGCTATTTTGACATTTAATTTCTAACTAAAATGTTTAAACACTAGATCCATGTTTTTTACTGTTGGTTGCTTCTAAGTAAGCACTTGAGCATAGTGTAGGTCGAAGTTGTATTGGATGTCACGTTGCTCTCGTAAAAACTGCCCAAACCTTCTTAGAACGTTGTGAACCATGATTTGGTGCTCGGTTCGTGAACCGGCGTTCAGCGTGACGAACTCATGTTGGCACCTCCCTTTCTTCCTCTCTGGTCGCTCTCTGGACGTGAGGTTTGCTTCGCCAGTTGGGTATTAGTATCGGCTTTAGGTTAGGGGAATTAGTTGAACCTCGATCGTGATCGTTAGTAGCTTTTGCTTTACTTTAAAATGCGTGCACATCACCAGTTGCTATCTCTCGGCCCGAGTTTGCGGTCACCGCGCGCGTGGGCGCTGCTGGCACCGGGCTCAGGCCGTGGCCGAGCTGCTGCCGCTAGCTAGCTCGCGCGCCCGGGTGATGCCGCGTAGCTCCTATGGCCTGGCGTTGGCTAGTCTCGGCTGGCTGCGGCCTGGCTCCCGCTGCTATGTGTGTGTCGTGCTTGGGTGGCTGGCCGCGATGTCGTGCGCAAGGTAAGCCTAGGATGCGGTGGTCGTTGCTCGGCCAACGTGGTGCCCGCCTCACCTTTCGATCCACCTACCACGCCGAAACCCCGAGCGTGTTCCACTGCTCGTCGCGCCTAGGCCGATGACCCGGTCACAATGGCGATGGGACGCCTCCCTGCCTCTCCCTGCCCCGCTAGCCGATGCCGGTGAGCCCTGCTCGGGTCCGGCCTCTCCAATTCAAGCGCGTCGCGCCAAGTCCTCCACTGTCTCGTCACATGTGCGCATGTGCTCGTATTGCAGCTATCGAACAAAGTTGCCTGTCTTAATTTGCTCGTGCTCACTCATGTGCCTCTCCATGGCATGACCATGGCTTGAGCTCTGCCTTTCCGCCCTCTAATTCACCTAGCTCAAGGCTTCACAATTCAATTCCTCGCACCAGTAGGTGGCATAAGAAGTCAACTTGGTGCCCCATCTTCCCCATGCCTGGCCAAGCACTATTTGCCGCCAATTTGGTGTTTTCTCGCCGCCAGCCAGGTGCGTCGCTTAACACCCTCGGTGTTACATTGTACTGTTTTTGCTAAAACACTGCATGAGCATCCTACTTATGTGCAAATGTGTGTAACATAAAGTATAAATCAATGTACGGTA